CCAAACCGAATTTAGCTCTAATCTGTCTTGGATAATGTCCTTCAACCCGCCAATATGCCTTGCTACCATTTGATTGGCTGATTCGTTGAGATTGTTTCTAGCACTCAATTTATTGAATTCTTCCGTGTACTCACTAACGGATCTCGTTCCTTGGACACAATGTTGATACCTCATGTAGAGTATTTGTTCGTAGTCCGTTGGCAAGAATTGTGCTCTAAAGAGCTGCTTCATTCGGTTCCAATTCCGCACTCGACCCTTGTTTTCTCGTTGCCTCATTTGCAACACTTGTGTCCACCAAGCACTAGCACCCCCTTTCAACCGACACGCCACATACTTGACTTGCTTGTCTGGTTCAATCTCCATATATTCAAAGAAATTTTCAACAGATTTTTCCCAATCCAAATAGTCTTCGATATGCAGATGTCCGTCGAAAAACGGAATATCCATTTTGACTTTAAAATCTCCTGGATGATAAACAACGGGTCTAGGTCGGCGAAACCTTTGATAATCTTGCGGTGCTACAACATCACCGTCTTCTTCTCCTGATCCTTCATCTCCCATTCTTTGATCTCCCGCTCTTTGAAACCATGGCATTTCATCGTCCGAACCGGACTCTTCTTGAGAAATCACGGGATTTCGCCATTCCATGTGAGTTGGAGCTCTTCCCCTCATCCGTCTTTACCTATTTGCAGGCGTTCCTTCTCTTATTATTGGTTGTTGTGGTAATCTTGCCTTTATGAGATTGAACTCGCGGCGAACTTCCACCATCAGTCGCTGCACGTCCGCTGCAAGGTCGTCCAGCCGGCGATTGATATCCTTCTGGTTTGCCCAGATAACGTCAGTGCTTGGTACGTCGTCGGTGACTAGTTGTTTGCCACGATCCGCCATTGCTCCCGATCACTGGCTCTGATACCATATGATGCGAACCTCTGTCGCAAGATGATGTCAAGCTCCAGATGATGCGAAGCCCGGATGCGAACTGGTGTCAAGCTCCCGTCACCTGCAAAGACACAAGCACAAGCAAAGAAAAAAAACAAGCTCTCGAGCAGAGAAACTAAGGTAATTTGAGATGTATGTAAAAACTGAGTACAATTCTTTATATGGACTGCCTATATGCATTTCTCTTCTTCCAGTCCTGCTATATCGGGAACAGCTAAGAAAAAGATAATAGTACTGTAAACTAACTGGAAATAACAAGTGTAAGAAAAAGGTGTAAGGTTTAGTGGACACCGTGGGGTTGTTATAAAAGATATCATGTCTCGCAATCCGTGGGGGTTAACGTGCTCCGCATCACAAGAGCAATCTCCGATCTCTCTCTTGCTCTCTTGCTTGGAGCCACCCTTTCAAGAGGGAGGAGTGGTCTATTTATAGATTTCCTAGAGTCACATGGCCCGTGAATAGGTGGGAGATCAAGGGCATATAGGAAGTGGCTTGGATGAACAGTCGATGTTGAATCCCTTGATCGTGTACCGTTTGATGTACATTTGAATGTCTTAGTGATGTCAGAATTCAGTGATCTTGGGCTCGTTGGATTCATCTCGTCGAGCCGCTCGATTCGACTATAAGCACGTCATGTTTGGAAATCGTTTGGTAATTCAACTTGCGGTTTGAACCCTCCAACAGTGCTCCAGACCCTCGATTTGGACCCATTTGGGCTTGGATTAAGTCGAATTTGGTGTCGTTGGATTCGTATTTCCAAGACGCTCAGTTCGACTATAAGTTTGCTGAAATCGGAGTTCGGATGGTCCCAATTTTAATTTTGGAAGTTTCCAACTTGATTTTGCCTCGAGATTCATGTCCGATCAAGAAAATTTTTCGAGGATGTATCAAGAATAACTAGAATTTAGATAAATCTTTGGACAAAGATCATTTAGGATTGTAATTGCTTGTTATTTCAATAAGTTATTAATTGAGATTTCATTGTCAATGATTCTTAAAATTTCTTAACAAGCTCCTTTCGCATGTGGTATCACATCACTTCTTCCTCCACATCCCTTCTCTTTGGGAGATTCCTGGTGGATGTCCAAGACCCCTCCTACTTAGCATACTACTATCGCGCCGCCCAGATTGCTATTTGGACGGCAGAACTTCGGGCCTAAGGTGGTGGTTCGGTAGAAGTCCGGGCCTCAGGTGGTGCTTCGGTAGAAGTATGGGCCTCAGGTGGTGGTTCAACAGAAGTCCGGGCCTCAGGTGGTGGTTCGGCAGAAGTCTGGGCCTCAGGTGGTGGTTCGGCAGAAGTTTGGGCGTCAGGTGGTGGTTCGGTGGAACTCATGGCCTCAAGTGGAGGTCCGGTAGAACTCTGGGCCTCAGGTGGTGGTCCAGCGGAACTCAGGGCCTCAAGTGGTGGTCCGGTGGAACTCATGGCGTCAGGTGGTGGTTCGATGGAACTCAGGGTCTCAAGTGCTGGTCCGGCGAAACTCAGGGCCTCAAGTGGTGGTCCGGCAAAACTCAGGGCCTCAAGTGGTGTTCTGGTGGAGCTTAGGACGTTAGGTGTTGGTTTGATGAAACTCAGGGCCTCAAGTGGTGGTATGGTGAAACTCAGGGCCTTAAGTGGTGGTCCAGCTGAACTCAGGGCCTCAAGTGGTGGTCTGGTAGAGCTCAAGGCCTCAAGTGGTGGTCCAGCGGAACTCCAGGCAGTGGTCAAGGAGGAGTGAGGAGGCAAGAGCAATCTCCAATCTCTATCTTGCTCTCTTGCTTGGAGCCATCCTTTCAAGAGGGAGGAGTGGTCTATTTATAGATTTCCTAGAGTCACATGGCCCGTGAATAGGTGGGAGATCAAGGGCATATAGGAAGTGACTTGGATGAATAGCCGATGTTGAATCACTTGATCGTGTACCGTTTGATGGACATTTGAATGTCTTAGTGATGTCAGAATTCAGTGATCTTGGGCTCGTTGGATTCATCTCGTCGAGCTGCTCGATTCGACTATAAGCACATCATGTTTGGAAATCGTTTGGTAATTCAACTTGCGGTTTGAACCCTCCAACAGCGCTCCAGACCCTCGATTTGGACCCATTTGGGCTTGGATTAAGTCGAATTTGGTGTCGTTGGTTCGTATTTCAGATACGCTCAGTTCGACTATAAGTTTGCTGAAATCGGAGTTCGGATGGTCCCAATTTTAATTTTGTAAGTTTCCAACTTGATTTTGCCTCGAGATTCATGCCGGATCAAGAAAATTTTTCGAGGATGTATCAAGAATAACTAGAATTTAGATAAATCTTTGGACAAAGATCATTTAGGACTGTAATGATGCCATAAGGTATACATAGAATAGATAAATGAAATTCATTGAGCTAAACACGGGAAACATGAAATTCACGATGGATAATCAAGGTTTAAGTTTGATGGAGTCTAATTTTTTATGCTTCATGAAGCATGATGAATACAGGTTATAAGGTTAGCTCGGTAGCCTTCAAAGCTCTGAGCATCAAGCGTACAAATTCAGAACAATGCGGGAGTTCTTCAGATCAAAGCACGTCCAATAGAGCATTAGAGTGAATGGTTAATTTCAAAGCTTTGCCTTTGGCAGTCCTTATAGACTGAAAATTGATAAGTTTGATTTTTAGTTCTCAATTAAATTCACAAATAAATTCCTAAGCAAATCATATAAAAGGGATTAAATGCAATTAAATTTGAGATTTGCTTTGTTTGCTTTTGTTAAGAGTAAATCTACATTATATATATATAATCTCACCTTCCATAGGGAACACATTTTCTTTTCCCCAGAAAAAAAAAAAATCTCATGTCCCATCACTTCCCAATCATTACATCATCTCAAGCTTTATCATCTCCCTACAAAACTCTTCAACTTCCACAATATCCTCGTTATCTTCTCCAAATAATAGATAAATCATTTTACTTCACATTCTCAATCTCACTCCACTTCCTATCTCCAAATGATGCATAATTCAATGAACACCTCGGAGACTTCAGCCTTATCAAGCTCTACAAGCATAGGGAAAACCAAACCACAATGCTAATGGTGGACACGCTCCATTAAATCATGTCGAAACAAACACGAACAAGAAGCTCACCACAGCCGCTATATTTCTCCTTTGAGGTGTTGATGATTAAAGTGGTGTCTGGCAAACTAATAGACCCTAAGGTGGCATAAAACGAGATAGTGTTGGTGGATTTAGTTTGACACAAGCAGATAGTGGGAAAATAGTAGGAGACGGCAGACCTGCATATCACCAAGGGATTCAATGAAGACAATGTAGAGATGTCATTCATAGTAGGTTTGATGTGCTCACATTTGCCGACAATGATTTCTAATGATAAGAGATGTGCTCAATACATTTCTTATTATCTTCTATTTATTCAGTATTTAAGATAAAAGATGATTTAATATTCACTAATATTTATTCCAACTTCTTCATCACCCATGCTCTCTTCTCTATCACTTGATTTGTATCCCTCAATTTCATCTCCATTTACTTGGGCACATCATTTCAGCTTTAATCATTAACCTATTTCCAATAGTAATTGCCTATTTCTCAAACTCTTAAAGAACTTTTCATATCATCCTATGTCAAATTATCATAAAAAAAGGTAGTTCATCCTCAACATTTGAAGTATTAGCAACAATCTCACAAATCAAGAAAACACATTCAACAAATTACCAAGAATGTCTGTGTAGTAGCCTCACCTCGCCTAAGAACAAAGTAAGAGCCAATTACACTTTAAGATCACCTTTCATATCATCCTGAATCATTTTGTTGCTTGAAGTTCAAAATTCTATTTTGAAAAATGATGAAGTTATTATACTCCTAGTTAAAACTGAATAACAAATGATTTCAAACTCTACAAACAACTTCTCGAGTGCCTCAAATGTGATTATTTCGTTTTCACACAACAATAGTAAAAGTGAAATCATTACTTCCTAAAAAATTTAACCCAAAAAAAAAAATTCACTTCCTAAAAAATGATGTACATCAACAAACAATCAAATGAGCTCTAAAGGTAGAAGAAAAATAAGAATTCAGAAAACCAGCACTTACTTCCCGGAGTGCAAGATCATCCGAACGAATCCCACGAGAGGAACTGTCTCCTGCAGGATCTGATCCTCCCAATCGACCCACTCCGCTTCCTCTGTCTTCTCTCCAACCTCCCCCTTCCTCACCAAGCTCTCCTCTCCGGTGTCCTCATCGGCGACTACCGGCGAAACGACGGGTCTTCTCAGCACAGCAGCGTCGTCAGCAGCACCAGCGCCGATCCCCTGCGTCCTCACGGCTCTTAGAGTAGCAACAGGAAGTGGATTTAGGGTTCGAGAAGTAACACATGTGGAAGAGAGCATTACATGGGGAGAGAGTTGTCTTAGGGGGAGCCGGAAGAAGGGTGGAGAAGGACCTAAAACTAACACCATGAGCAGAGTATTATTGAGAATCGGGCTTCGGATTGCGAATGTTTCTTCTCGTTCTCTTCGTTCTTGAAAGGGTTTTTTAGGTTCCAGCTGCTGTTCTTGGGGTAATACGGCGAGGGTAGACGGAGAGAGTGTATGATGACCTGTGGCTTGCGGGAACGAACAGATAGAATCATATAAGAGAATATCAGAGAGCGGACACGAACCCATCTACTACTGAGAAGCGGTGGTCTCAACACGCGCTCCCCCCGAATTTTTTTTAATCCAATAAATCATAATTTTATGAAAATTCAATTTTATGTACAATTTCATTATTATTTTACCCTATATATATATATATATATATATATATATATATATATATATATATATTGTTTGTTATCGATTACAAATAATATTATTTCTCGTGTTAAAGAAATATGTTTATATACTATAATAGATATATGTTGTATATAATGAATTTTGGGGTGAAAGTTGAAAAAATCTTTTGGCATGGGAGTCATTTTCAAGAAATCATTTGTTGTATATTTGGCCGCACTTATTTGAGAAGAGAAGATTAGAGATCAAAAAATCTAACCTAAATCCTATTGCTAATATTGACAATCAAAATAAAGTGGACAACGTGCATCGATCTTATAAGTTATGGCATGCTTTGGAATTGGTAGTGGAGTCAGTAAGTGTGGGTGTAGCTGGGTGACAATGGTTAGAGAATTATATGTCGATGGACTATAATTAGGTAACTAAGATCAAAGGATCATAGTAGAGCAACATTGGTTGGTGGATAGTAGTCAGACAATGAAAGTCGAAAGACCATGGTCGGACAATGGTGAGACCTTAGTCTAGAAAATGTGGTTGAATGACCATAATCATGTCAAAATGGATAGAAGATCATAATTGAGCGATATTGGTTGGAGGACCATTGTCGAGCGACAAGAATATAAGGATTGTGAAAGTAGTCGGGTAGTGTAGTCGAAGGATTGTATTAAGATTTTTATATTGGTGATTGGTCAATGTTTGAAAGACATTGATCCAACAGTAATCTGGCAATAACAATAAAGTGGTGGTCCAACGACTACGATCGGGTAATAATCTATCAACAATTAGGCTGGTACGGCTCAAGTTGAGCACTAGGATCTTTAGAACCTCTAAGCATTGTTGAATCTCAAGCCAAAATCTAAGCTTGTGATCTCGCATCTCTATCATGTAGATAATGAGAGCCTATTTATACATTTATGAGGATGATATACCCCATAAATATAGAGAAAAACCAAAGCATTACATAGGATGACATATATTCATTTTCCTCTATCATAGATTGCTACTTCAGCATTTGATGCCTTAATGATGTCTCAATGAAGCAATATTGGGTTTGCTAGATTCATCTCTTTGAGATGATTGATTTGATTATAAGCATGCAAGATTTAGAGATCATTTGTTTATTAAATTAATATCTTGAATTTTTTCATTATGTTTCAAATGGTTAGCATTGGCTCATTCAACTCAAATTACTTTTGGTACCATTAGGTTTGTCTCATCCAGATGTATGTTTAGTTTGAATATAAATTTGTTGAAATCGGAGTTTGGATAGTCTTTGAATTTAACTTTGGAGTTTTCACTTCAAATATGCATCGAGATTCATCTCGTCGAAAGACTCAATATAATTATAATTATGCAAGATTTAGAAGTTGTTTGGTCCTTCAATCAGTATCTTGAACTTTCAAAATAAGTTTCAAGTGCTTGATTTGGGTTTATTTAGACTCAAATCGGATCAAATTTGGTGTCCTAGAATTAGTCTTGCAAAGAATTTCAGTTCTATGGCTCAGCTATAAATTTGTTAAAATGGGAGCTATAATATTCCTAAATTTAACTTTAAAATTTTCTAATATATAATTAAATAAATGGTGAGAATATCTAATTTAGTGTAAAATAAAATCAATATAAAGGCAAATCATAAATTGGTATTGAAGGAAGAATGACCGGAATGATCACATTCTACTTAGGTTTCGTTTGTGATAGCTTTTGACTACTATTTTTTTATGCTTTCAAGAAAGTCATTGTAAAAAGCGATAAGAAATATGCCACAAAGGAAGCCTTAAGCTTCATTTGGAATGGTTTTGTTATTGTTTTTTAGTACAAAAAATAAAATTTTGGTACTAAAAAATTATTTTAAGAAGCAGTAAGTAATAAAAAAAAATATTTTACTAAAAAACTGCTTTAAAAAATAGTAAGAAATGTGTCCCAAACAAAAGCTTATGATTAGTTTGGGATAGCTTTCTTACTGCTTCTTAAAGCAACTTTTTAAAATATTGTTTTAAGAAGTAGTAAGAATGTCGTCTCAAACGAAGCCTTAGTTAGTTAGTTTCACATAAGAAAGCATATGTGTAGGGAATGACCGAGAGATGTGAGTGATAATAGTTGGTAGTGAAGCAAGAATGATCCCACAGATCTCACTGGAAATCTGGAATGACGTACTGTAAATGTATTTAGATGAGACCTTTTGAGGTCTTTTTACGTGGAGAATGTGAGTCTATTTATAATTTTTCATACTGATATTTTGATTATTTTAACAAGAATTCACAAACAGTCCATCAAATGACCTATCGGACTTTTTTTATTATTATGCAAGATTTTTTTAGGAATTTAAGTATCTTGATAACAAGAAAATTAAGTAATATTGAGTTCATTGGATTCGCGCCATTGAGTTGCTTATTTTCATAGTAAACACGATTCAAAGATTGTTTGATCCCTCAAATAATATCATATAGTTTTCAACTATATCTTAAATGATTGCTTAGATCCATTTGGACTTGAATAAATATATTTTTTATTCCATTCGGTTCATTTCATCGAAATATTTATTTTAATTATTAGCTTATCGAAAATTGAGTTCATATGGTCATCAAGCTAGTATTGTAAGTTTCTGATGCATTAAGATCCGTACTTGATTAGATAAACTTTTCTTATGATACATTAGTTGCCCCTTAATCCCTCTTAAGAAAAATCAAAATTTTTAGTCCGAAAAATAATTTGGGTTTCGAAAAGTTTACGTTATGAAATTATAATTTAAAAAAAAAATTGAAAGCACAACCATTCTACTATCAAAAAATAAGGTAATCGCAGCATAAATTTTGACCTATTTAGACGGTTTTAATAGCCACAAAATACTTTGCAACGGTTTTAAAACCGCTACAGATACGCTATAATTACTATGCGCTACAATGATATTCAGTAGCAGTTTTAGGACCGGTGGGGTAGCATTTGCAAAACGCTTGCTTTCGCAGCGGTTATAACCGATACAAATAATCATTTTTGTGTCGGTTAAAACCGATGCAAATTCTCCATTCTGAACATGTTTTCAGAATTGCGGCGGTTTTAACCAGCACAAATCTGGTGCTTTGTACCAGTTAAAACCACCACAATAGACCATTTTTTTTTTTAATTATGAAACCTGAATGTCCACACACTGCATCACAAAATTTCTTTGCAAGGGTATACCCTATATGTTAACTTGGACCTCTGGTTAACGCAGCGAACTAAATAAACTATCTTTAGTTGTAATTTTATTGTTCTTTGATGTTGGCAAGTCAATAAAAGCAAAATTTATCAATATAAAAAAATAATAAAATATTTATTTTGATTAGAAATTTGTTGAAAATGAATGTCCAATGATTCTAAAGTTGATTTTGAACATTTCTCTCATAATATTGAACATAAGACGGTCATTTAATGTGATGATATAAAATTCTAGCTTTTTATTTTTCTTGTATTTATATAACAAATTTTAAGTCATACCACAAATGCCTCATATTTTTCTTTACATAAAAATCTCAAATAATATTTTTTAATTAATAAATGCTCTTTATTTCTCATTAATGATTTACTAAATTAATATTTATAATAAATTTTAAATCATAACATTATCTACATTGCTATTTAAAAGTGGTAACTTATAATTCTTCCTAATATTAAATCCTAATCATCTGATATAAAAAAATAAACTTAGTGTCCTAGCATCGTAGCACTTCGACCCATAATCGTAATGCCGCATACTGAATTCAAAATTACGGTAGAATATAGCTCAAATGATGCGACAATTTATGGCATTGTTGTGCTCTTCAGCCTAGCGCCACAATGCTCATTGATGGTGATTGAGCATTGACCAAAAGACATCATCAGGGCAGTGACAGTCCATTAATGACAGTGGACTGGAGGCAATGGTCTGATAGTAGCTAATAGGTGATGACTAATGATAAGAATCAAACAAGGGTTTGATGGTGATGATCCAACTATGGTGGTCTGATGACCGCCATTGAATAGTGGTCCAATGACAATGATTAGGTAGTGATCATATGAGATTGTTGGTTTGTTGTCTAATAATGACGTTTAGATGGATCTTTGGGATTTTTCATGCCTCAAAACTCTATTGAATCTCATGGCAAGGGTCACTTTCTTGAAGGGAGTAAGGGCATATTTAAAATTTTTTAGAGTGACATGTCTGTAATTATAATAAAAATACAAAACACTTCATTGGACGACCCATATTGATTTTATTAATCATAAATCATTATTTCATAATTTACATGCATGCCTTAATGATATCATAATCAAGGGATCCTAGTTCATTGGATTCATTTCTTATAGATGCTCAATTCGACTATAAGCATCTAAAATTTGGAGATTGTGTGGTCCTCTAATTAATAATCTAAAATTTTAAATTATGCTCCGAGTATTTGATTTAAGCTTCTTTAAATACATAATGATTCAGTTTTGATATTGTTGAGTTTGTCTCGTCAAGCTAAGTAGTATGACTCTAAATTTGCTAAAATCAAAGTTTATGCTTGGTTTGGGATTACTTTTTTATAACTTCTTAAAGCAGTTTTTTAGTATAAAAATTAAAATTTTTGTACTAAAATGCTACTTCAAGAAGCAATAAAAAAGAGTCCTAAGCAAAGCCTTAAATAGTCTGAAGCTATTAAAATCTAGAGATCTATTTTAAGATGATTACATATAATCCTAAGCAGCTCATTACAGGAAAATTACTCATTTCCGGCGGCCTTTTTAGACGGTAATTAAACCTTTTCCAGCGGTTTTGTTGTTTTCTAGCGGTTTTCCGGCGGTTAAATTACCGCCGGTAAAAACGACGTAGGAAAATGAATTCCGGCGATTTTTTCCGGCGGCAATTTTGTCCGGCGGCTTACCGGCGGTCTTAAACCGC